GGTGTGGAAGAAGAAAAGAGGGAGTGGGGGCGGAGGTGGATTCTCCACTAGGGCATGTAAGCTAGAAGGACAAAACCTTGACTTTAATCAAAATTTAGTATGGACCTGACTACAGAGTACGGTATCGATAAAAAAAAATTGATATTGGGTGTTGAAATTTTTGGTTGGTCATAATTTTCTATCTTATTCGATCTTACGTTACCCTATTGAACAGTTAGCCGTAAAAATCGGGTAGGAATGCAGAATACCCATTAACTTTCGCATTCCTACCCTATCCTACCCGTAAAAAATATATTTAATTTTTTTATATTTTTTTAATAATTATAAAAGTATTTATGTGGTATAATTTATATTATAACATTGTTATTGTTATGGATGTTTGAGTTGCTAAAACATAGACTTGTTATTATGTAGGTTATATGATTTGTGGTGAACGAGTGATCTATTATAGTAATTATAATTTTAATGTGTTTCATATGGTTTAAACTTAAAATAATTGTTATTGTATTTGTATAACAATTATGATGGATAGATATTCATGTTTTCTTGTGTTTTATTGTAATTATTATTGTAGTTATTTTAGGTTTTAGTGCTATTGATTTATTGTGTTGTTAAATTGGTGTATGTTATTTAATTAAATTGTTAAAATAATTCAAAAATTAATAACTACAAAAGTGTACCCGACTTCCTACCCGATTAATCGGGTAGGAAGTCGGGTAAGAATACAACATCTGATCAGGTAAGGTAGGCCAAGAAAAAATTCTTCCGCAAAGTATCAGGTAGGAAGACGAAAGACTATATTTCTTACCTGTAGAGTAGGGTGAACACTCCTAATCGTACTTTCAAAATGTATTATTTTAATAAATATTTTTATAATTTTGTGAGTGAATGATTATTTTTGTGAGATTTTTTATCACTATTGTAAATATTTTATCACTATTATGATAATTAATTAATTATGTTTACCACTTTTTTCGGTATAAAAAAATTATCATTTTTGTGGATAATTTATCACTATTGTAATAACTTTTTATCATGACATTTGGTCAACACGATATGATTAGTTCAATGGGTTGAATTAAGGTTGACTAGTATTCAACATAAACTAGTAAATGACATAAATACGTCTAACACGACACGATTGGCATTCCTAGTTGGATCTTATCAGTCCAAAAGAAGAGACATAAAAGAGATCAAGTTGAATGCATTTGTCAGGAGTCAAACCCAGTTTACTTATATGAAATCAAATTAATTTTAAATTTATTGATCTAATCCATCATGATTATTAGATTGATAATGAGTCCTAATAAATACTGAGACTCGCGATTAATTTAATAGTTATAAGTGATTAAGTCAACAAATTAAATTCGTAAATTAGATCCGAGAAATAAGCAAACTATGAAATACAAGTTTTTGTCCTTCTTGCAAGTAAGAGGTCTAACTTCGATATTTTCTTACATACTCTATCTAAGAATCAGTCACTCTTGTTCTTTAAGAGACACGTCCTTAAACTAACTCGAGTTATAATGACTAACTTAAAACTCGAGAAAATAATTAACATAAGACTAGACACTCTGTAATAAAAAAAATATATAACAATTTTTAATGCGACCCTATAACCATACCTTTGTGATTAATTAGGAGGNAGAGACACGTCCTTAAACTAACTCGAGTTATAATGACTAACTTAAAACTCGAGAAAATAATTAACGTAAGACTGGACACTCTGTAATAAAAAAAATATATAACAATTTTTAACGCGACCCTATAACTATACCTTTGTGATTAATTAGGAGCNCTCGAGAAAATAATTAACGTAAGACTGGACACTCTGTAATAAAAAAAATATATAACAATTTTTAATGCGACCCTATAACCATACCTTTGTGATTAATTAGGAGCTAAACCCTTTAAAGTTCAGGGATGTTATTAAAGAAATCTGTCATGACTTTCAATGCCCAACTTGGTTGGTAATCCAACCAAGTTATTTCGTAAGGTTGTACAACTATGTTTTCCAAGAAGCTGCCATGTGAAATGATGAAAACAAAAGGGATCAATTCAGACGAAATGTCAATGTTTCTCAGAGGTGAGGAAAAGTGAAGGTACTGTTATAGATTACAAATTTTAAAGAATGTTGTCCCTCATAAATTCAAAAGTTCATATATTGCGCTCATAAATTTTTAGAAATTTGTATAGTNGGTACTGTTATAGATTACAAATTTTAAAGAATGTTGTCCCTCATAAATTCAAAAGTTCATCTCATAAAGTTCATCTCAGAGGTCATTGTTGTTTTTATTTTTGATAAATAAATGGTCTGCTCGCTCCCCTGATCTACAAAGACAGATGTAAAACACCTTAACACATACATATTGACAAAATACAATACTTCTATTATTTAATACACTTTATTTTTAAGAATTAATTGTATAATTAGCTCTAAATATTTTTTGTTAAGTTAGTGGCTCATAACGCAATAACACAATTAAATGCAAATTAAAATATGCTTGACCCAAAATCATTTACACCTTTCTAAAAAAAATTATTTTTCAAATAAATTAGAAGAAAATTGTTGAGAAATTTCATCAGGAAATTGTCCAATTGTAGATGATTCTTGAGATTTGTAACAATGGTGTTGTGTGACACTTTCATATATGATGGAGTGAAAATATACTATGAAAAAAATTGTTGTTTTTGTTGATATTTTATTAATTTCTTGATTTTCACATAGTAGATAAGTCTTAGATTTAATATTTTTTCTCATATTTTAGCTTAAGAATTCTTCATTTAAAAATAACACTCAATTCAATCCTTATTAATGGAGATTCGAAAAAGATTTTTTTTATACCAATTGGTTAAGTTGTTTGCCCATATTTTTGCCCCACTAAGATGAAATTCTGGCTCCACCCCTGGTACTAGGGACCGACGACTGTTGGTTGGAAGTTATAAATGGCACAAATTCATGAATGAAATGAAACGAAACGAAATGGTTGCTGCTTCTATCTTCATTGTTTTTCTAGTGCTAGGGAACCATTTCAACCATGTTTTTCACCACGTAAACCCAAGGTATGTATATAAATTATGTGTATTTGATCAAACAATGAATTTCTTACAAAACTCGAATCTAAGACGTTAAAGTGCTAACTACTGAAGTCAATTTAATAGTTTCATTTGTATTGATATTCAATGTTTTTAAACTTACATAGAAATAATGATCTTATACAGTCGCTTAAATTTGCTATTAATTTTTTGGAGTTCATGATGGGATAAGATTTTAGTTTTGTCTCTTCTCAACTTTAGCAATTTTCTGTAATCAATTAGCATATTAGTTATGTTTTTTTATTGGGGAAAAGAAATTGGAATTACAATAAGAGACAAAATCTTGATTTTAATGTAAAGGCTCAAAAAGTATACCAGTATGAGAATGCAAATTTTTAATTGAAGTGGTCGGAACATCTTCCTTCTAATGTCTCTTCACCAGTCCTAATTAGAGCTAGGCATGGGCCTGGTCCGGGAGAAGTCTTTCTCTCCATGTTTCTTAATTTTGTATTTTTTTAATTTTTTTAATTACTATCTTAAAGTTTATTTCAATCACATTCTATCATTTATCGCATGTAACAATCCCCCAACTCTCCCACTAACTAGCCACTATTTTTTAAAATTTATTTGCATAAATTTATTTTTTGTATTCAAAAATTTTGTATTATTTTTTTATCTATCTTTCTTAAATGATAAGGTGAAAGAGAAAAAAATAAAAATAAATTTTAAAAATGACAAAAAATATATGCACAGGGCAAGGACTCTAGAATACATATACAGTAGTGTTTTATGTTAGGCCAAAGGGCCATGGCTTTTGCCCCTTACCCTGACCCAGAATAGTGACGAACCAATTTTTTAGGTCGACTCCACAGAGATAGCCAGGATAGGCCCCCGATGGTCCCAAATGACTAAACCCAAGCCCTTTTAGGATAGGGCTTCCAGGCCACGTGGGCCACCCTGCCTTGGCCCATTCCAACTCTCACACTCGATCCATAGTAGCCCCAGTTTGCCATCAGACTATGTACCATACCAATATAATAACTAAAGCTAGTCTTAGAGCAAGTAACATTAAACAAGTAGAGAAAGAAGTATACACAATTAGGAGAACCTTCATGTTCCTGGAAACCTAGTTAGGATTTGAATAGAATAAGAAGGCCTATATATCTAGGATTCATTATGTTGACAAAACAGAATAAAACAAAACAAATCATCATTCAAGTTATTCAGGAAAGAGAGAGAGAGAGAGAGAGAGAAGCAATGGCGTCTGCATCGTCATGTTCTCTCCGGGCAGAAACTATACGCTATTGACAGTAGAACTAAAGTCTGCAACATTGAATTTCAAAAGGGCTGGAAACTTTTACATGAGGGTATGGATTAATCAAAAGCAAAAACTTGAAACGAAGGTGGTAAGTTGGATCGTTGGTTCCGACCAGCCGGTATGGAACCAGAAGTTTATTTTCTCCGTTCCCAACACCTTTATGTCTGACGAGAACTCCACGGTTCGTTTCAAGATCTTCCGGGAACGTAAATATGTCCCGGACTCTTTAGTGGGAAGAGCTGAATGCAAGGTGAAGTCTTTGTTCCCACCCGCGAACATGGAATCAAGGAACGGGATTGAGGAGGAGGTTAAATATGATACTGAGAATGAGTTTGAAGACATTGATCTTGATGATGACAACGAGATTCAAGAAGTCAAAGAAGAACGGATACCAGAGTTGAAAGCATCGGGTAGTTTTGAGTTTTCAAAAGGTTCGAGTACGAAGGGATTGTTGGATGTAGAGATTGTTGTGTGGAGGAGTAGTGATGTGTCGAGTGTGGGTGATTCTAACTGGAAACGGTTTGCTATGTTATATGACGAGTTCATGATGGGAGTTGGAAGGGACACTGAGATAATGAAGGTATCGTTTTTTATGTGCTTAGTGCTACCAAAAACTAGACCTTAGAAGTTATCAGTTAGTAGTTATTGATTCTCCTTTGTAGCATTACTGCTTTTGCTTTTATATCAGTACGCTTCTTTAACTTAACTCAGTGGTTTATCGGTCATCTCATCTATTAATGGTTTCAATTTGAACTTTATTATTCTACTACCGAGAAAAACAAAAATATGAAGGACAGGGTCCAAATCAATATGTTTTGAAGGATTTATGGATTATGGTCATGTGTTATGGAACAGATGCATAAAGATGATATGCCAATTCACTTATTAAATCAACGTGGTTAAGAGGAATATTGATAGATTGTAGGGTTAATTGCATTAAAAGTCTCTAAAGTATGAAATTTATCTTATTGTATCATTAATATTACAACTGCATTATTTTAGTCCTTGAAGTATTGAATATATTTCTATATGGTCTCTCAAGCAGACAACATTCAAATTATTAACATTTTTAATTATAAATTTGTCATGCGACATCTAAGTATGGACAAAAAATAATTTGATTAGCTTTTGATCAAATTTCTTCCTTAATTTTGGTCAAAGAATTATCCAAATTACATATTTTTTGTCATGAGCTATCAAATTTTGGTTAAGAACTACCCAAATAATTTTTTTTGCATTTATTTAAGTATCACGTAACAAATTTATAGTTAAAAACAGTCAGTAATTTGGACGATGTTTACTTGATGGACCACATAAAAATATATTCAATACTTCAGGGACTAAAACAATCTAATTAAAATATTATGAATCAAAATGAAATAAGCCACATATTTTGAGAATTTTTAGTGCAATTAAGCCTAGAAGGTAATATATCTCTAATGATTCTACAAGGAATTAGGAATGAGTTTGGATTAGGTATTAGCATGTATCGGATTGAACAACGTCATTCATTCCATACCCATTCAGCTAAAGAAGAAAGACAAATTTAAAATTTATATCTTCTCATCCCATGTTTTATTAAGGTAATAAGAAATAGTGAACTCCATATTCTATTCACTATTTTGTGTAGATAGAATATTGAATAATTGTATAAATATTATATTATTATTAAAGAACTCTCAATATAAATAATGATATTTATATCCTAGAGATTGTTGAGTTGAGAAGGTAATAATAACTAAAGCTAATCTTAGAAAAGGTAATATTAAACGAGTTGAGAAAGAAGCATACACAATTAAGAAAACCCTAAGTTCTAGGAAACCCAGTTAGGGTTTGAATAGAATAAGAAGGCCTATTTATATCTAGGATTTACAAGCTCATCAACCATCAGTCAAGTATAGAAAAACAATACAAATCACCATTCAAGTTAATCAGGAGAGAGAGAGAGAGAGAGAGAGAGAGAAGCAATGGCGTCTGCATCATGTTATTCTTTGGGAAGAAGCTCTACGTTATTGAGAGTAGAACTAAAATCCGCAACATTGAATTTCAAAAGGGCTGGAAACTTTTACATAAGGGTGTGGATCAATCAAGAGCAAAAACTTGAAACGAAGGTAGTCAGTTGGATCATTGTTTACGACCCGCCGGTGTGGAACCCGAAGTTTATTTTCTCCGTTCCCAACACCTTTATCTCCGACGAGAACTCCACGGTTCATTTCGAGATCTTGCAGGAACGTAAATATTTCCCGGACTTCTTAGTGGGAAGAGCTGAATGCAAGGTGAAGTCTTTGTCCCCAGTCGAGAACATGGAATTGAGGAATGGTATTGAGGAGGAGGTCAAATATGATACTGAGAATGATCTTGATGATGATGATGATGAGATTCAAGAAGTAACACAATAACGGATACTCGAGTTGAAAACATCAGGTGGTCTTGAGGTTTCAAAAGGTTCGAGTTAGAAGGGATGGTTGGATGTAGAGATGTTTGTGTGGAGGAGTAGGGATGCGTCGCAGTGTCAGGTGTGGGTGATTGCAACTGGACACAGTTCGCTACGTTATATGTCGAGTATTGGGGTAGTCTTGAGGTTTCAAAAGGTTCAAGTAAGAAGGGATGCTTGGATATAGAGATGGTTGTGTGGAGTAGTGATGTGTCGGGTTTGGGTGATTGTAACTGGTTATATGACTGAGTGTTGGAAGGGACACTGCGACAATGAATAAGAAGAACCTTGGGGCTACCAAAAACTAGACCTTGAAGTTATTAGTTAGCAGTTACGTTTTGTTGTTATTGATTCTCCAATGTAGTACTTTTACTTGCATATCAGTACTCTTATTTAATTTAACTCAATGATTTATCGTCCTTATTACGTAGTTTCACAAACTTTTTTATAAATTTAATAAGTAAATATAAATTTTTTATTTTTATTTTTTTGTTAATCTAAAATTCACCTCGTTTCGTTTCGGGGGAATCTAAAACAAATTAGGCCCATTTACAGGTAGCCCAACGCAGCTCGTAGCCCATGGCAATTGTCCACTAAACCCTATTGCCTGCCTGTAAGATTTAATGTGACTCACAAGATTTTGTCACGTATTAATTTTCTGAATTAATTAGGTCAGATAATGATAAGATTATTCATCCTAAACTAACAAGTTACTAATATTTTTTGATTGATCAATCAAAAGAAGTGATTTGGTGATATTTTACTTTGATGAGAAGTGAAATTCATGTTGAACAAGGGAATCAACCTTCTCTTAAACTATAAATATATACATGCTCCATCAATTTGTGTAATAAAATTAAAAATCAGGAGGGAGAAACTGATTTTGGACAAAAGGATTCTTCAATTGTTGATCAAATCATTAAAGATTTTGTGATAATAACTTCAGGTATATTAATTATAATGTTTTTAATTTCATAATATAAAGATTTAAAAATCCTGATTGTTCTAAATTTTGGAATCAGGGTTTACTTGCTTCCTCAGTCGTTTCTATTCCCAATATTGAAGCAAATCAAACAGTTTCATTCCAGTTGTCGGAGACGAATAATTCAATAAAGAGATAGGAAATACATGGATGAGAATAAATATAGAGACCGAAAATAAAATTCAGAGAGAGAGAGAGAGGGTGGGGGAGGAAGACTCACATGGAAGTCGTGACTCAGAAATCAACATCTCCGCTCAAGGTTTAAAGACACCTTCCGCCAACTTGCGCTTTATGCAAACCTACGCAGTCGCCAAGCAGCTCCGAACGCGAATCAATAGGCTTGGCGGCGAAAACCAGACTTGGAACGACAAGTTCCTCTGCCGAGACAACAATAACTTCATCTCCGGTGATTCCTCCGGCGTCTCTGTCTGGATCTATGCCGTCGCTTCCTGATTTGGTGATGGGAGAGACTGATCGCCGACGTCGACGACTGAGTGGAATTGGATAGAAGAGGGTCAGAAATCCTCAGGTGTTGAGTCTAGTGAACAATCCTGATTCGAGGTTTTGAAGCAGTGGAACAGTGGTAGTGGAGTTTGAGAGAGCAAAAATGGCGGGAAAGACAGCTCACTAAGCATTGTCTCCGCACTTTTTTTACTTCACGAGGCATCACTATAATCAGACCTTCGTCTGTCAATTGTCTTACACGAAGCGGGTTGTGTTAATTTTTAATGAATTTATGTCAAAAAAAAATACTCTACTCATAGTTTATTTGTTTATTAGTTCATGTTTACCAAGTGTATAATGAATATATAAATAAATTATATTGTATATTTTTTATGATCAATTTTACTTATATTAGATTCGTTTATTAATTGTGTTATGTCAAATTTACTCATTTACTAAATAAATGAANTATTAATTGTGTTATGTCAAATTTACTCATTTACTAAATAAATAAAAAACGCAAACCTTTTAATTTTTTTTCATGTTCATGTTGTATTAATAGATCATTTTATACTTTGACACCTCCCTTCATATAAATTGGGTCATGACCTAGAAGAGTCAAATTGTATGTTATTAGCCCCACATAACTTCAGATTGGACCAAGTAATTTCATTTGTTGGCCTGACTAAAACCCAAAAGAAACAGCAAATTCTTTGGAGCATTGTTGCAAGAAAGAATAACTGCAGAAAAAAAGGTACTAATGTATGTCATGTTTGGTTTAGTTTTCGAAAATTATTTTTGTTCTTAAAATTTTGAAAACGCCTTAAACCTCTTTGTTTAGCATTTTTGTTCTCTAAATTTTTAAAAAAATGAGATTTAAATCAGAGAAGCAGAAAACAAATGTAACTTGTTTTTAGAATTTTTTTTGAAAATTTTGAAAACAAGGAGAACAATTTTAGATGTTCACATATATATATATATATATATATATTATATTATGAAATTATCAATATATAAATAATTTTTTTATTAATGTTTAAATTACTATTCAAATATATATTTAAACTGTCCATACAGATTTTACTATTTTCTATATTGTAAAATAATTTTTAAAATCATCTAACCAAACAAATTTTTTATTTCACAAAATATCAAAACCACTTTCTTAAAATTATTCTCAAAAACTGTTTTCGAATACTATTTTTTGAAACGCAAACCATGCCCGTAGTTTCTACTTTCTACAACAAAAACAGATGTACTGAGAGTAAAACCATAGGTGAACCCCTCATGTCATGCTGCAGAAATACACGAGTGGGATGCGAATTTGGCCCTATCAGTTCCAGAGCACAATTTGGATCACCAACAAAAAGTAACGACCTTTTGTCACCTAAGTTACAAACATTAATGCTTGCACCAACCGAAACTTCCATAATTCTTTGTTCAAGCCAAGCTAAAAAAGAAAAAGTTTACAGTACCCAAAAGACGATGAAAGAGTCACTGCCTGATGGTGAGTTCAGCCCTGAGATGGAGTATACCGTTAATGAAGTAAAGGCTGTCCTCAGCCATGAATGATGTCCAAGGTATGGCAAATAAGTTACGGTAGCCAACTGCCTTACCACCCGTGAAAGTGTAGTTGCCCTTGTATTTGCTAATGTACTCCTCCGTTGGCTTTGATCTTGCAGCAAATTCGTAATCAACCGCAAAAGTCACTGATCCCTTCTCCTGCATCCCCAAAAACAGCCCGAAGCAATGAAAAGAGCTCTGTTGGTCCATGTTGCAATGTGCAGATAGGAAGAAACCTTGTCCGCCCAGGTGGAATGCTTGAGAATACACCCGCCCAGATGGGAACAGATTTGCACACTCCTCCCTCTTCAAATCTAGGTAGACCACACACTGCTGACGTGGGAGTTCGAACTCAACCACCTTAACAGGCCGATACTTGTAGGCCCGCTCCACAAAGCGGCGGTTCGTGGTGGCAGGCTCCTCTGCAGCCAGGGTTCGCTGTCGGTGTGGGGCCTCAGCCTTGAAAAATAGGGCCTCAAGCACAACCTTGGATGCAAGATCGTGATCAAAGTCATTGCATGTCAAAACCTTCTTAAGCTTCCGACAGGTCATGTAAGGAAAGCGGATGAAGCGCCCAAGACGAGAACCCAGGATTTCCCGCCGTTCCTCCAGTTTTGGATATTGAACCCTAGCCCACTTTAACACAAAGTCATAGACTGCATCCTCGGATGCCACCTGGAGATCATCACTTGCCAAAATCGCCTCAATTCCAGCTAGAGGCAAGCTCATAACCTCATCCAGGTACCTGGCCAAAGTAGAAAAGGATCCTATATAAGCATAGTATCTGGCTAGGAGTTGTGGCAATAAAACACTATTTGGCTTTAGATGAATATCAACTGACCCTTTCTGTTAAGGATCTTAAGATTTAATACTGATGCTATCATGACACTTTAAAAATTTAAACCCCACAAAAACCTAAGAGATTAATATGAATGTCTAATATTATGGGGTGTGTAATTCAAACATAGGGAACGGCGCAACATCCCACTTCATGTCTTCATCTAGCCAAGAGTGTGAGGTAAACCTTCCTTGCAAGGCATGCATACCTAAACAAGTTATGATGGATGTCTATGCGATGTATTTTGACATGTCGCTTTCAATAAATGAAAATCATATAAGTGACACATCTAATAATTGGAAGAAAATTAAAAGAATAGCGAGATAATTAGGCTTGGGCCTTCTTCATGTTTATTAGCATTCTGTAAAAAGATGATACAAGCCTCAAGGACTGCCAAGCAAAGTTGGTTTGAAACTTGTCAAGACTCAAAAAATGAAGTATGACAATTTTTCAAATTAAAGCAAAATGTGACCTCTACGGAAAGGTAAGTCATGAGTTTTCATGGAATAATAACACTAAAATGCTCTCGGATTAGACTACNCTCACATGGAAGTCGTGACTCAGAAATCAACATCTCCGCTCAAGGTTTAAAGACACCTTCCGCCAACTTGCGCTTTATGCAAACCTACGCAGTCGCCAAGCAGCTCCGAACGCGAATCAATAGGCTTGGCGGCGAAAACCAGACTTGGAACGACAAGTTCCTCTGCCGAGACAACAATAACTTCATCTCCGGTGATTCCTCCGGCGTCTCTGTCTGGATCTATGCCGTCGCGTCCTGATTTGGTGATGGGAGAGACTGATCGCCGACGTCGACGACTGAGTGGAATTGGATAGAAGAGGGTCAGAAATCCTCAGGCTAGTGAACAATCCTGATTCGAGGTTTTGAAGCAGTGGAACAGTGGTAGTGGAGTTTGAGAGAGCAAAAATGGCGGGAAAGACAGCTCACTAAGCATTGTCTCCGCACTTTTTTTACTTCACGAGGCATCACTATAATCAGACCTTCGTCTGTCAATTGTCTTACACGAAGCGGGTTGTGTTAATTTTTAATGAATTTATGTCAAAAAAAAATACTCTACTCATAGTTTATTTGTTTATTAGTTCATGTTTACCAAGTGTATAATGAATATATAAATAAATTATATTGTATATTTTTTATGATCAATTTTACTCATATTAGATTCGTTTATTAATTGTGTTATGTCAAATTTACTCATTTACTAAATAAATAAAAAACGCAAACCTTTTAATTTTTTTTCATGTTCATGTTGTATTAATAGATCATTTTATACTTTGACACCTCCCTTCATATAAATTGGGTCATGACCTAGAAGAGTCAAATTGTATGTTATTAGCCCCACATAACTTCAGATTGGACCAAGTAATTTCATTTGTTGGCCTGACTAAAACCCAAAAGAAACAGCAAATTCTTTGGAGCATTGTTGCAAGAAAGAATAACTGCAGAAAAAAAGGTACTAATGTATGTCATGTTTGGTTTAGTTTTCGAAAATTATTTTTGTTCTTAAAATTTTGAAAACGCCTTAAACCTCTTTGTTTAGCATTTTTGTTCTCTAAATTTTTAAAAAAATGAGATTTAAATCAGAGAAGCAGAAAACAAATGTAACTTGTTTTTAGAATTTTTTTTGAAAATTTTGAAAACAAGGAGAACAATTTTAGATGTTCACATATATATATATATATATATATATTATATTATGAAATTATCAATATATAAATAATTTTTTTATTAATGTTTAAATTACTATTCAAATATATATTTAAACTGTCCATACAGATTTTACTATTTTCTATATTGTAAAATAATTTTTAAAATCATCTAACCAAACAAATTTTTTATTTCACAAAATATCAAAACCACTTTCTTAAAATTATTCTCAAAAACTGTTTTCGAATACTATTTTTTGAAACGCAAACCATGCCCGTAGTTTCTACTTTCTACAACAAAAACAGATGTACTGAGAGTAAAACCATAGGTGAACCCCTCATGTCATGCTGCAGAAATACACGAGTGGGATGCGAATTTGGCCCTATCAGTTCCAGAGCACAATTTGGATCACCAACAAAAAGTAACGACCTTTTGTCACCTAAGTTACAAACATTAATGCTTGCACCAACCGAAACTTCCATAATTCTTTGTTCAAGCCAAGCTAAAAAAGAAAAAGTTTACAGTACCCAAAAGACGATGAAAGAGTCACTGCCTGATGGTGAGTTCAGCCCTGAGATGGAGTATACCGTTAATGAAGTAAAGGCTGTCCTCAGCCATGAATGATGTCCAAGGTATGGCAAATAAGTTACGGTAGCCAACTGCCTTACCACCCGTGAAAGTGTAGTTGCCCTTGTATTTGCTAATGTACTCCTCCGTTGGCTTTGATCTTGCAGCAAATTCGTAATCAACCGCAAAAGTCACTGATCCCTTCTCCTGCATCCCCAAAAACAGCCCGAAGCAATGAAAAGAGCTCTGTTGGTCCATGTTGCAATGTGCAGATAGGAAGAAACCTTGTCCGCCCAGGTGGAATGCTTGAGAATACACCCGCCCAGATGGGAACAGATTTGCACACTCCTCCCTCTTCAAATCTAGGTAGACCACACACTGCTGACGTGGGAGTTCGAACTCAACCACCTTAACAGGCCGATACTTGTAGGCCCGCTCCACAAAGCGGCGGTTCGTGGTGGCAGGCTCCTCTGCAGCCAGGGTTCGCTGTCGGTGTGGGGCCTCAGCCTTGAAAAATAGGGCCTCAAGCACAACCTTGGATGCAAGATCGTGATCAAAGTCATTGCATGTCAAAACCTTCTTAAGCTTCCGACAGGTCATGTAAGGAAAGCGGATGAAGCGCCCAAGACGAGAACCCAGGATTTCCCGCCGTTCCTCCAGTTTTGGATATTGAACCCTAGCCCACTTTAACACAAAGTCATAGACTGCATCCTCGGATGCCACCTGGAGATCATCACTTGCCAAAATCGCCTCAATTCCAGCTAGAGGCAAGCTCATAACCTCATCCAGGTACCTGGCCAAAGTAGAAAAGGATCCTATATAAGCATAGTATCTGGCTAGGAGTTGTGGCAATAAAACACTATTTGGCTTTAGATGAATATCAACTGACCCTTTCTGTTAAGGATCTTAAGATTTAATACTGATGCTATCATGACACTTTAAAAATTTAAACCCCACAAAAACCTAAGAGATTAATATGAATGTCTAATATTATGGGGTGTGTAATTCAAACATAGGGAACGGCGCAACATCCCACTTCATGTCTTCATCTAGCCAAGAGTGTGAGGTAAACCTTCCTTGCAAGGCATGCATACCTAAACAAGTTATGATGGATGTCTATGCGATGTATTTTGACATGTCGCTTTCAATAAATGAAAATCATATAAGTGACACATCTAATAATTGGAAGAAAATTAAAAGAATAGCGAGATAATTAGGCTTGGGCCTTCTTCATGTTTATTAGCATTCTGTAAAAAGATGATACAAGCCTCAAGGACTGCCAAGCAAAGTTGGTTTGAAACTTGTCAAGACTCAAAAAATGAAGTATGACAATTTTTCAAATTAAAGCAAAATGTGACCTCTACGGAAAGGTAAGTCATGAGTTTTCATGGAATAATAACACTAAAATGCTCTCGGATTAGACTACTGGACATGGGCTTACGCTAAACAAAACCAATCCACCCACCTATCCACTAAAAAGATTAAGGAAAACATATTAAAGTCAAACTGCATAGATGAACCGAAAAAACAAAAAATGCACCACAGAAAATTGCATGAAAAAATAAGATGGATAAATTAAGGAAGTAACATCTTGCCTGCAAAGGACAATTTGCAAATTAACGAAGGATAAGGTTTCCAATATCTGCTGGAAATTGTAGTATCCATGGACTAAACAAGAACCAAAAAACTTACTTGGTTATGTCCTTGTAACGGCCAGCCAGGTACAGCTTTGCTGCATCTGTCAATGGCTGAACTGCTTCGGCCATTAATACGCTGGAAGGAAGCTCCAGATATAGCAACGCAGACTCAGGTGACATGGACAAATTCCGCAATAGACGACTGCAATACCTCATGCATGAAGCAACCTCGAATTTGTCAGCAGCCATCAGCACATCCAACAAAACAGGGGCTGTAGTTGCAGTTAAGGAATTGCTATACATGAAATTAAGAAGCTCCATTAGGGCAGCTTCCTCTGTTCCACAGAAAAAGAAAAGGATAATTACAATAAGGTGAGTAGAGCAAGATGACATTTTTCAGTGAAATAACTATCAAGAAAAATATACACTAACTTACTAGAATTAAGATATTTATGGTTTTCTATTAAACATGCCACCATCTTCAAGAGACTAGATGAAAAAAAAATCAGATCCAAAATTGGCATGCCCACCAAAAGAAACATACTATCCTTAAAAATAAGTAGCATGAAATGTTAATCCATACCAGAGGCATTGATCCTTAGGGTTACATGTCGCTGCTCTGACTCCCTCATCCCATTTGAGAAGAGCTATATAAGTTGCAAGGAAAGAATGTCGTCATCCACCAATTTTATAGAGATAAAAAAGCACCATACAGAAAACGAAAAAGAAAAAGCAACATCTACCTTATAGAAAAATGGACTTTTTGCAGCTAAAATCGGAGAGCTAATATGTAATGTTTTCACTCTGAGGACTGTAGAACAATCCATACTCCAATTTGAATCATTGCTATTTGCAGCTTCATCCCCTACACAAGCAATATGAAGTCTTGAAGTTTGTGGAACAGAAACGGAAATCAAGAATTTTCCACTCTAGAGTTTACAAATCTACTTCCACATTGTGGGCTTAGGGAAGACATAAAATTTTGAATTTAAATAATTCTAAGACCTGAATGAGATTCTTCAATCATTGCAACTGCTTCCTCATCCTGGTTTTCACAGCCCACAATATCATCAATATCAGGCAGGTTACAATTCAATGTTTGCTCTTCGGGACCTACAGTGATATCCAAAGCTGCAAATGAATGGCGAATGTCTATTAACGTCAGTAGAACCCATTCTAACATAAGAAAGAACAGCAAGTGTACAACAACATGCACAACATTCCAACAAGGAAACATTCACATCAGAGATTTGTCCTGCAATCAAGGAATCAAATTTGCAATCCACACCAAGATATAGAACAATAATGAATACCCATTATCATAATAAATTAAGGTCCAAAAATGGAACACAAGAAAAGAAATAAAAGAACAATACAATGTCACAGTTCTTTTTAATAAATATTATTAAATGATAACATTTATAATATAAAACAGGGCAGCCTTCAATAAGCCATTTGACGGTCTCAAATAGACTCACCTAACAGTCACAAACATCTCTCAAAATTATTTATATTGCATCATGACTTCAGACACGGGTTACCCCTAGTCAGCTTATATACCAACTAAGAACATTCGTAACTGATTTTGTGCAATTTATATTAGCTGACTAACTACCTTCCACCAAACAAGTGACGTTATTAGCAACAACGATGCATCTTCACTAGGGAAGCGAACACAAGTACTAGCTAAAAATGATGAGGAAGAATAATACCTTCTTCAAGAAAAAATAATGAAGAACCCCAAAACAACACAAAATATTAGACTTGATTTATTCCTCATAAAAGGTACCAAATAAGAATCTCTGCAGCAATTGAACACCATATTTTAACCACCAACATTGATACGTTCATTCTGCCAGCCAAACTAACTCCTGAATTTCACTCACTTCGTTTCTATTATCCTGATTCTAAGCATCATGTTCTACTCCACATATTTTTTCAGGTGAGTTGTTCTACTCCACATCATACAAATCCCTACCATTTCATAGTTGCTCAGATCAATTTTCTATTTATTTAGGGGAAATACTATTTTAAACTGCATAATTAAATCATACCAACACTTTTCCCCCCGAGAGTAATACCCTGAGCAAGATCACAACAGAATTAACAAGCCCAATTAAAGAGAAACCCTTTTTCGCAAATCCCTAGCAACCGAATACTATTTTGGATGGAGTACTAGAGAATACCGTATTTGATCATGAACATGTGGTTATCTCTCCCGCCCAATGTACTCAGTAAAGCTCCCCCTCCCCCCCCCCCCCGGGGGAGCTTGAATTAGGCTAAAATGAGCAATATTTTTTATTTTTTTCATTATGTCAAATCCCATTTAGCCATAATTTCCATTTTCCAACATTCAGAATTTTCTTTCCCTACACAAATAACAACATTCAGTCGATAAATGATCGTTAAACAATCTAATAACAAGCAAAAGCTATACCCAAAGTCAATAATCACCAAAACAACAAACACATATAACCAAAACGACACCTAAAAACACTAACCAATTTCTTTTTTAATATCTTCTCTCCTTCGNCCCCCCCCCCCCCCCCCCCGGGGGAGCTTGAATTAGGCTAAAATGAGCAATATTTTTTATTTTTTTCATTATGTCAAATCCCATTTAGCCATAATTTCCATTTTCCAACATTCAGAATTTTCTTTCCCTACACAAATAACAACATTCAGTCGATAAATGATCGTTAAACAATCTAATAACAAGCAAAAGCTATACCCAAAGTCAATAATCACCAAAACAACAAACACATATAACCAAAACGACACCTAAAAACACTAACCAATTTCTTTTTTAATATCTTCTCTCCTTCGCTTCCGATTTCTGGCCCAATCGGCGAGGCTTTGACAACCCTCGCCATCGGACCTGGTCTCGGGAGAATCGTCCATGATCTCGATCCGGAGAACCCTGTCGGAGAAGTTGCTATCGTTAAATGCGAACCCAAAATCGGCATCTCGGCCGGCGTTCGGCGAATAGTCCGAGTCCATCACGGCCGTTCTCGGGTCAAATAGATCCAAACTCGAATCTCTCATTGCTATTCTTATCTCTTTGAACCTCTCTGTTGTTCTCTCTCTAACAATGTAGAAGAAGAACACGAAAATGGAGAAAAGTATAAAACCCTAGGTTTCGGCAGCTACAGAATTGTAGGGGGGAGAGAGAGAGTAGAGGGGGGGCATCTGGATGCGAGTCTTTGGACAGAGTTTAATGAGGACGAGCAATGATGAATTTCTAAAGATAAATTACATGAACCACCCCAAACTTTATATTTATTTCACTCGAATCCTTCAGATTTCAGAAGTTATGAATCCACCAATACATCTTTCATAAAATACCCAATTCACCATTTTGAAACAAATAGTAAAAATTATAAGAATTAAGAAAATTAAAAAATACCAAAAAAGGGAAAACATGTCCTGCTTTTTTTTTTCTCATTTGGCCATCGCTACTCTTCTCTCTCAAAAACCACTTTCTTGGTTGAAATTATTGCCCCTAGACAAGGGGGTGGGGTGTTCCAAGTTGTAGGGGTGATACAAATGATTATAGCATATAAAGTGTTCTCAAGCCAAAAGAAAAAGCGTATAGAGTGTTGATCGATTTGCGAGGAGCTGGACATGGATCTAATAGATTTAGATCCCCTGTAATATTTTTTTTTAGTAGATAACCCATAGTTTATGAATCAATGACTCACTTATATAAAATTGATTTAATTTAAATTAGGGATCGAAAGTGAATCAAAAATAAAAATATCAAAAAAATATATCAGAAAAAATATCATTACGGTTCTAAATTGTTGGGGACTGATTCTTTGGTAGCTAAGTAGGGAATGGGGAGCAGACCAAAGGAATTGAAAGAGGTATTTACAAGCTCTTTCCACCGTTTGGGTTTAAGTTCGTGTTTTATTTCATTTTGACTAGAGGATAAATTTTTCATTTAAATCTCTTTCCATCAAATCTATTTGTCAGCGGGAATCAACTGTAAAATATCACAAATATTAGGGAACAAAATGCAATTAATACAAGTCTTGAAGATAATTAGTATAATTTGCCCTTTGACTCCACAACAACAAAATAGTAATAGTATGTATGTTGTTTCCATTTGGTATTTGACAAGATCCAGGCAAGCTACCTGAAAATAGATTTTTTTTTAATAGTAAAATTATACATTTGTAATGTAAAGTTATAATTATTTGAGAAAATACCTTAAACAGTAATAATTTCTCTTTTAAAATGAATTTGAGTGACAATAATGATATGTGTATCATTTTTTTGCATCACCCGNTATAAGAATTAAGAAAATTAAAAAATACCAAAAAAGGGAAAACATGTCCTGCTTTTTTTTTTCTCATTTGGCCATCGCTACTCTTCTCTCTCAAAAACCACTTTCTTGGTTGAAATTATTGCCCCTAGACAAGGGGGTGGGGTGTTCCAAGTTGTAGGGGTGATACAAATGATTATAGCATATAAAGTGTTCTCAAGCCAAAAGAAAAAGCGTATAGAGTGTTGATCGATTTGCGAGGAGCTGGACATGGATCTAATAGATTTAGATCCCCTGTAATATTTTTTTTTAGTAGATAACCCATAGTTTATGAATCAATGACTCACTTATATAAAATTGATTTAATTTAAATTAGGGATCGAAAGTGAATCAAAAATAAAAATATAAAAAAAATATATCAGAAAAAATATCATTACGGTTCTAAATTGTTGGGGACTGATTCTTTGGTAGCTAAGTAGGGAATGGGGAGCAGACCAAAGGAATTGAAAGAGGTATTTACAAGCTCTTTCCACCGTTTGGGTTTAAGTTCGTGTTTTATTTCATTTTGACTAGAGGATAAATTTTTCATTTAAATCTCTTTCCATCAAATCTATTTGTCAGCGGGAATCAACTGTAAAATATCACAAATATTAGGGAACAAAATGCAATTAATACAAGTCTTGAAGATAATTAGTATAATTTGCCCTTTGACTCCACAACAACAAAATAGTAATAGTATGTATGTTGTTTCCATTTGGTATTTGACAAGATCCAGGCAAGCTACCTGAAAATAGATTTTTTTTTAATAGTAAAATTATACATTTGTAATGTAAAGTTATAATTATTTGAGAAAATACCTTAAACAGTAATAATTTCTCTTTTAAAATGAATTTGAGTGACAATAATGATATGTGTATCATTTTTTTGCATCACCCGATGTAATATAAATTTAGTCGCCAAATATATAATGAATTTAATAGAATCCATTAATCTAATAGTTTATATGTATTGAAATGGTGCATATAAATAATATGTGTAACATTGTTGTTCAGAGTAATAGCCGGTCCGACCCACTTCTAAGACGGGTCATGGGTCATATCCATCTGCCAAAAATTGGCCTGTACTGCCATATGACCCCTGGCCACGAGTCTTAATGCTAATAAGAACGGGTCAATTGTCTCTGTAAACGTATTTTACAAGTCTTGAAATTGAGAGTATTCGGGTCGTCTAGGTTAAAATAATTTTTAAAAAAAGAACTTAATTCTTGAATTTTTTAGTCTTGGTGCAGATAATTTACTTTTGATCAGACTAAAAAAAATTAAATCGAGATGCGCGTAAACTAGTTCGGGTATACCTAACTAGAATACAAAAAAAAAAAAAAAGCCTAACTAAGATTTTTCCGATTTAATTGTGCACCCACGAGGAGGTCAATTCCAAGAAATGTCCATGTTCATGCAGCTTCCTCTTTTCCCCAAGAGATGAGAGTGTCAACTCCAATGAATAATCCACTTTTTGGGCTGTATTGTGCTTGATCATTGACCTGGTTNTGCCCTTTGACTCCACAACAACAAAATAGTAATAGTATGTATGTTGTTTCCATTTGGTATTTGACAAGATCCAGGCAAGCTACCTGAAAATAGATTTTTTTTTAATAGTAAAATTATACATTTGTAATGTAAAGTTATTATTATTTGAGAAAATACCTTAAACAGTAATAATTTCTCTTTTAAAATGAATTTGAGTGACTATAATGATATGTGTATCATTTTTTTGCATCACCCGATGTAATATAAATTTAGTCGCCAAATATATAATGAATTTAATAGAATCCATTAATCTAATAGTTTATATGTATTGAAATGGTGCATATAAATAATATGTGTAACATTGTTGTTCAGAGTAATAGCCGGTCCGACCCACTTCTAAGACGGGTCATGGGTCATATCCATCTGCCAAAAATTGGCCTGTACTGCCATATGACCCCTGGCCACGAGTCTTAATGCTAATAAGAACGGGTCAATTGTCTCTGTAAACGTATTTTACAAGTCTTGAAATTGAGAGTATTCGGGTCGTCTAGGTTAAAATAATTTTTAAAAAAAGAACTTAATTCTTGAATTTTTTAGTCTTGGTGCAGATAATTTACTTTTGATCAGACTAAAAAAAATTAAATCGAGATGCGCGTAAACTAGTTCGGGTATACCTAACTAGAAAAAAAAAAAAAAAAAAAAAGCCTAACTAAGATTTTTCCGATTTAATTGTGCACCCACGAGGAGGTCAATTCCAAGAAATGTCCATGTTTATGCAGCTTCCTCTTTTCCCCAAGAGATGAGAGTGTCAACTCCAATGAATAATCCACTTTTTGGGCTGTATTGTGCTTGATCATTGACCTGGTTTTCTTATGTGTTGGTACAGTACAAACTTATTTTCTTAAACAGTTAGGCCAAACCGACCACTCTTTTGGGTTTATTTTATGTGCAAGCATGTGCAAACAAAAGAAAGACTTTGCAAAAACAATGGTTTGAAGATGTGAATTTTTAGGTTCAAGTCACGATCCATCGGATATACATGAAGTACGGTTGATTCAACCCAACAGGAATTCACTTCATAGTTATAAGTATAAAGACACGTTATTTGAATTATTATTCATAACTATTTGTATGACATGTATCAGTGATTAATATCTTGAGTTATCAAGCATGAGTAAATTTATTTGTTAATTTGAGTCCGTGTGTTTACTTGCGATTTAACATCTCAAATTTACTAGCGCTTGCAAGTACCAAATTAGTTTAATGTAGACAATTTACCATTGTCAAAAAAATGTTACACGGGTTGATGGTGTTGTAAAATTAAAGCNACGAGTCTTAATGCTAATAAGAACGGGTCAATTGTCTCTGTAAACGTATTTTACAAGTCTTGAAATTGAGAGTATTCGGGTCGTCTAGGTTAAAATAATTTTAAAAAAAAGAACTTAATTCTTGAATTTTTTAGTCTTGGTGTAGATAATTTACTTTTGATCAGACTAAAAAAAATTAAATCGAGCTACGCGTAAACTAGTTCGGGTATACCTAACTAGAATACAAAAAAAAAAAAAAAAAAAGCCTAACTAAGATTTTTCAGATTTAATTGTGCACCTACGAGGAGGTCAATTCCAAGAAATGTCCATGTTTATGCAGCTTCCTCTTTTCCCCAAGAGATGAGGGTGTCAACTCCAATGAATAATCCACTTTTTGGGCTGTATTGTGCTTGATCATTGACCTGGTTCTTATGTGTTGGTACAGTACAAACTTATTTTCTTAAACAGTTAGGCCAAACCGACCACTCTTTTGGGTTTATTTTATGTGCAAGCATGTGCAAACAAAAGAAAGACTTTGCAAAAACAATGGTTTGAAGATGTGAATTTTTAGGTTCAAGTCACGATCCATCGGATATACATGAAGTACGGTTGATTCAACCCAACAGGAATTCACTTCATAGTTATAAGTATAAAGACACGTTATTTGAATTATTATTCATAACTATTTGTATGACATGTATCAGTGATTAATATCTTGAGTTATCAAGCATGAGTAAATTTATTTGTTAATTTGAGTCCGTGTGTTTACTTGCGATTTAACATCTCAAATTTACTAGCGCTTGCAAGTGCCAAATTAGTTTAATGTAGACAATTTACCATTGTCAAAAAAATGTTACACGGGTTGATGGTGTTGTAAAATTAAAGTAAGAAAGTCTGTGAGTATTTTTTGAAAAATACTGTCCGAAGTGTGCGTAAGTTGGTTCGGACATTTCTGACCGCTAAATATAAAAAGAAAAGACTATCAATCATACAAAGCTAATGGGGTTAGAATTATTCCATTGGGAGCTAATATTAATTATTTGATTAACTCTTGGGGGCCATATTATTAAATCTTTTATCCTTTTTTATACCTCACGACAGCATGATTAATTTTTTAAACTTGAATCTTTTTGTTGGCCATCTTATTGGAATAGTCAAAGGGGCATAAAAACCGTTCACATTTTAGGCATCAATTGAAGAATATCAATACTTAGATATGCTTTGACCATCCAATAAGAAGAAATGATCACATAAAGCCATCGCCCTCTCATGTCGGCCAAAATAGAAAAGACTAGTGCTATGAAAATGGTGAGTCATATTTGAAGTTCCATATCATGGGCTAAGAGACCAAATCAATACTCATTCCATTTGAGAATAAAAAGAACATTCATTTTGTCACCCACGGCATGCCTAACACGAGACCTTATGAGGGTTTTTTTTTTTTTTTAAAATGGAAGCTGTCCAAAAAAATCATTTCAATTCATAGGATTTTACTTCAATGGCACCTTCATATTTACAAAAAAATATATATGACCACCCTTTGGTTTGGATGGTTGAATTTTGTTGATGTCGAAATTTAATCCACCAATGAAAGATTCCTCATAGCCTGCAAAAAAGAAAAGTGCAGAGGAAAGAAAAGTAAGAGGAAAATCCTAATTGTTGCTCGAGGGGATTTTGACTATAAAAAGCATGCCTATTAATCGAGTAGATGATTTTAGATTAACTGTTGAAATTTGGGTAAAAACTGATTATATATAGATCTACAATGGTGAAAAGGCAATATGTATTTTGATAAAATGTTACTAATTCTAATAAGACTATAATAAAGAGGACAATAGACCCATTCACCATCTACTAAAAAGGGCAAGTAATAGGAAGGAGTTTCAGTTAACATACCTTGTTTACTGTGGATGATGTTACCTTTTTATACATCGGAGATAGACATAATTGTTTGAAAGTAGATTGAGATCGTGGGCCCCAGTGGTCGGATTGACGGGTGTGGTTCTTATACTTGGATAAGATTATAGTACCCAAGGATATTAGCATACGAAAAATTATATATTACAATTTTTTTAAATTAAATTATAAAAATAAAAAAATAAGTCCGATTCCAATATTGAAAACGTTGAGACANATTGAGATCGTGGGCCCCAGTGGTCGGATTGACGGGTGTGGTTCTTATACTTGGATAAGATTATAGTACCCAAGGATATTAGCATACGAAAAATTATATATTACAATTTTTTTAAATTAAATTATAAAAATAAAAAAATAAGTTCGATTCCAATATTGAAAACGTTGAGACAACTTGTCTCCCCAGCTCTATCTAAGCCGTGGAATAATACCAACTAATTTGCTTTATCAGGTCTGTTCATTAGAACCCAATAGTTGACCTTGTTTATTTGGCTAATGGTTATCAGTAGAATTAATAATTCATATGAGTTTTGTGAGTTTGAACTGAATCTGTTGTGCTCGTTTTTTTAAATCAGTTTAAAAATTTGTTCAAGTTCAGTTCGTTTAGAAAATAAACTCAGCATAAAACGAGTTAAACTCAAACTTAACCCGAGTAACTGAACTATTTTACATATAAATGNTCAGGTCTGTTCATTAGAACCCAATAGTTGACCTTGTTTATTTGGCTAATGGTTATCGGTAGAATTGATAATTCATATGAGTTTTGTGAGATTGAACTGAATCTGTTGAGCTCGTTTTTTTAAATCAGTTTAAAAATTTGTTCAAGTTCAGTTCGTTTAGAAAATGAACTCAGCATAAAACGAGTTAAACTCAAACTTAACCTGAGTAACTGAACTATTTTACATATAAATAAATCGAATTTATCTGAGCCGAGCCTTGATAATTCTGCTCAATTATCCGCTCTAGACAATGCTATAAAGAGGAACCAAAAATCCGGATCAATCATGCATTTTAAAATAATACCAAGAACTACTATGGTGGTTATTTTAGGGGTCAGCAAAACGTTTATGATCCAAGGACTGGCTCGTTAGCTCTGTGGTTCTGCCCCCCTCATGACGACCCCTGGTGCACGAATAGCCCAATGAGTCTGTCCATGAAGCATGATTTTGGTACTCTAGGCTTTACAGTCTGGGCCGTTTAAGACCCATTAAGGCGGTCGGTCTAGTAAGCTTGGGACTCGACTCATTACCCCCAGACAGCCCACGGGGCCACAGTTTCTAGTTACTGCGTGTATGCCCAAACACAACCCAGCTTTACAGTCTGGGCCGTTTAAGATCCATTAAAGCGGTCGGTCTAGTAAGCTTGGGACTCGACTCATTACCCCCAGACAGCCCACGGGGCCACAGTTTCTAGTTACTGTGTGTATGCCCAAACACAACCCAACGTGGAGAAAAAGAAAATGAAGGATGATGGAAAACAGCGTAGGGGAGCTCCCTTCACCCCAAGCCAGAAAGATCAAGGTAACCTCGGCTCCCGGTTCATGCCCACCCCTAGCCCGCGCAAGCCCACATGCTATGCTGCGCGTCCAAAGGTATTCATGAACCAGCAGCTGTGGTCTACCCTCATTTCCTCTCGGAGTTGGAGCGGCAGAGAGCTCCCGTTAACCTCCCACCACCATACACCACCACCCAAAGATTAAAAAAAAAAAAAACAGTGAATGTTAACATGAATATAGTAGAAATAGAAAGCTTGAAGGACTGTGTCCAAAAGCTTGGCAGAGAAGGTTGCAAGAGGGGCCTTATATAGGCCCACTGGCACGACTCTAGACGTCATCTGGACCGTAAAATTCAAAAATTTGATGAAATATTAATTACAAAATCTGAATGAGATTCCACTTTTAGACTGTAGCACTATCTCTAAGCATCTTTCATGTAGCTTTGCATATATGGATTGGCTTTGCTTTTACGGTTGTTTGTCATGGATTCAATTTCCTTTGACTGAGATTCAAATCTCTCCAAATACATTTTATTTTAATTTACTTCAATAATAGATATTTTACTGTGTATAGACGGTGGGTACACTCATCTTCTAGTATATATATTTAATTTCTCACAATGATAGATCATTTATCGTATATTAATGCATGAGTAAGGACCCTTTATATCGTATTCAACTAAATTTTTAAATGAGTGATTTTTTTTTTATAACGGGAAATATCTCTAATCTATCCCTGGTGAATAGAAGCGCACTTATGTCGCTCAAGCCTATAAGTCCGAGTAAAACAGAGGGTAAACTCCGAATGCATGAACAGATTTCTCAACTCATACACTAGTTAAATCAGGAATTACACTTCGATGGGGATTCTAACCTATACCAGATATCGGAATACGGTTTGTCCAAGTAGCTGAGGTCCATCCTACCAATCAAACATATTTTTTGTCATCCAGGTGACTTGAAACCTTTACTTGAAGAAGACAAAGTTTTTAAAAAATGAAGAGTACCATTAAAATAAAAATCCATTTGGTAAATGAGTGATTTATTATTGAACTAAATTATAATGCAGTGTTCTAACATATATTAATGAGCACTTTGATTAAATGTGACTGATTGGTTATGCAGACTATGGCAAAATACTTAGCATGGTGATTTAGTGCAGACATGAACCCCTTTTACTTTTAAATTTACAGATTATTGGCTGTATCAAAATAAGTGGAATCAGGTCATGGCTGCAGGGAGTAGTGGTTTCCCTTTAGTGACATTTTTGTAAGGATGCTTGGGTGGCCTTATAACCATTTGATTGGGTATTAGGTTTTATACTATTAAGATGCATTCAGTGTCAGCTAATCATTCTCCTGATCATCTTCAAGAAAATGGAATAAGACTAGACTATCAGGAACTGAAAATGGATTCCTCTTGATCATGACTTTAGTGCACTCTTCACTTCACTTTCTCAAGAATTTTAAACCATGAGATATATATATTAAAAAGGAAATGGTCAATAAATAAGTGGTATAAAATTTGTGAAGATTCATACCCATGTTCTCCCAATACTGTCTAATAAAATGCACCCATAAAAAATTTATGTCACCTCAAGAAACATATCGCTATGACAGTACTTGGGGATACGCCATGAAGCTCTGATGGGGATACTCCTCTCTATTATATTTTTACTCAATTTCACTCCATAGTTTATCACCCTACCATGGATTCAAATAAGGGTCACCATTTATAAGTGGGTCTCTTACCCATACCCGATGAATGATTGAGTAAAGTTGAATAAAAAGTAAGATGAAATTCATGAAACTTCTGTAGGAGAGATTTCTCACTCTAGATTTAAGAGAAAGAAGCTGTCCCTTCCCTCTCACCCCATCCTGCTACATACCCAACTTAGAGGCTGATGTTATTTAAGGTAAAAATTGACACAAAACTCAATATAACTGCAAAGATCACTCTCAAAATCAAAACATTCTCAGATGAATTCTTATTATATTTTTGAACTCATGGAGGACCCACCCAAACTCTCTCTCTCATTGTACAGACAATAGTCCTCATTGGATAAATAATGGCCACACCAATACCACTTCTTGCAGCACCTTCCTCTAACTGCTGGCAGATTTGAAGGTCCAACACCCTACAAACTCTCTGTTCCTATGGTGATCTGTGTGTAACAAAGAATCACCCGGCATGTATGCAACCCAAATAGGGGAAATGTTATTTCTCATGGCCTTTCATGTCCTTCAAAATACACTTGTCCATAAGGAATACTGAAACAATGCTCTACTTTTGGCTGCTGCCTTGCTGGTATGGTGGCAACATGCTTCTTTTGGTACTTTCAGGCTGGCTCGTAAAGACCTAACATGTGCCCATCAACACATCTAATGGCTGCAACCTGCAGAGCCACCATATTGCGAGACATTCATAGAAATTCCAGATAAAAAAACAGAAGATCGAAACTTGATATCACATGTAGCACATAGTCTCGAGCCCATAGTCAAGAACTGCACTCTTAAACCATTGTGCAATTAGCAGCCACAACATGACATCATTGTGTCTTGGAAATGATTGTCATTTTTTCTAAGAAACATACTATCTTTCGCCCAAAAGGATGATAACTAGAGGCAAGAGAGTGCAGTCAAATATTGTAAGCGGCAACCCTTGGAATTGCTCAAACAGAAAAAATAAATGTTTGGGTTGTTACCTTGCCATGGATCTCATATTTAATGGGACCATCCAGCTCAGCACCTAAAGCCATTAATTTTGTTACTGTATTGTTAATGTCAGTCACCGTAAAAGATAGGAGTGATGAGTATCCTTTCTGCATGACCTGATCACTGTAAAACTATGGTTAGCACCTTCATTCAAGTTTGTCTAACTATGGCATCATAAATTCCAAGAACATATTCCTCCATAACAGGAAAGGAAGCCAAAGAAAGCATTCCCACGTACGAGCAATGTAAGTATGTAACATCATTTTCATTTTAATTTAAGCCAATACATAAATCAAACTTCAGGAGAAAGGTTGACAAAAAACCACAGGCCAAGAAAACTTTTGTAGTTAATACTATTTCTGGCTTTTTGCTCTACTGGATCAGATAGATTGTTATCTAAAAATGTATCAATAAATTGATTTTTTGGGAAGGGGGATCATATACAGTTTGCAAAGATACTGTAAAAAATCACAAACCAGAATATTAGAAAGGTATTACAAAACAAAAGCTCAATTGTCCTGAAGTATTGGATGCTCTCAAAAACAAGATACATTGGTTGATACCCTGGTGAGTAAGGTGTGATCGCATGGTTCCCCCATGAACTATGTTGATACCCTGGTGAGTAAGGTGTGATCGCATGGTTCGCCCATGAACTATAAGGAAGAGTCGTGTAGATTGTTAGAGCCACTGTCAGGGTGGTCACATCTTACCTATGGCCTGCANACATTGGTTGATACCCTGGTGAGTAAGGTGTGATCGCATGGTTCCCCCATGAACTATAAGGAAGAGTCATGTAGATTGTTAGAGCCACTGTCAGGGCGGTCACATCTTACCTATGGCCTGCGAGGGTATTCTATATGTATCGGAGAAACTTTTCATCTGTCTGTCAAAGAATCATCTAATCGCAACTATTTCCCCATTGGCATTCTTGTAAACNTGGTCACATCTTACCTATGGCCTGCAAGGGTATTCTATATGTATCGGAGAAACTTTTCATCTGTCTGTCAAAGAATCATCTAATCGCAACTATTTCCCCATTGGCATTCTTGTAAACAAGGATGGTTTGATAGAGATATTTTGTTTTAGAAGTGTATAATATAGTCGTTACACCTGTCTACCCAAGCATCATATCTGGGGCTGAAATTAACAATACCCCGACATTAATTATATTCAGTAACAAATTTAGCTTCAAACCAATATGCATAATAAAGGTGTCACTGCTCTGTCAGCCCATCAATAATTTAATTAGAACAAAAATAAAGGCACCCTTATGTATGAAAAACTGAAAACTTAAACTGATGCTACTAATGCCGCCATAATCCTACTCCTTAAAAGTTCATCTTGACGTGATTTGAAGAGAAAATTGCCACAACATTGAGATAGATATGTTTGAATTTTAGTTTAAAAAAAAAACAAAGCAGTAACTCAATAAGAACTCCTTGTGTTCGTCCTTTAAAAACCAATTTGATGTTTTATCTGTCAAGTGTTGGATACGTATGACCTAGTGCCTTTCCATGTCAGGCAAACCACTTTTTTCTAAGTTAAATCCCCACTTAAATCGTCCTGATCATTCATACATCAGCTGCGTACCAATGGAAATTTGACCCTTTAAGGTGGGTTCAGATACAAGACATGACAGTGGACACTATATGATATGAATTGCCAACTGGGAAGGCACTATACAGAAACTCGCATATTTGAAGACTAAAAACGTGAAAAATTGCTAAAATTTACGATAGATCCCATGATTGGATAACACAGAACAGAGATAATCGACCCACATATGGTCATGCAGAGAAACGAATGGATTGGAATTCCTAAAGCGTGAGATCAAAACCAAGAAAATTAAAATTACTAAAGCGTTTAGTGAAAGAGGTAAATCCCAGTACAGAGAAGATAAACGAGAGAGAGAGAGGGAGAGGGAGAGAGAGAGAGACCTGGAAGAGTGCATGAGAGCGAGTTTGAGGGGACCGGCCTGGAGCTCGGCCCAACGGAGAGTACAGACATTGATGGTGAAGTCCAATCCCTCCGAGTAGAACCTTGCGGCTTTTGGCACATCTTTGTGCAGTTGCAGTATCCACCTAAACGATGCCGCCATTTTCTTCTTCAATACTCTCTCTCTCGCGTCTGTCTCTCTCTCCACCTCTTCTTGAAACGGTGCCGTGTTTTCCCAGTGAAATTGCCGAGTTCTGTATTGGGCCCAGGGTTTTGGTACAGTACAATGAAATTTTTTGGGCTTTTGGGCTGTAAAATATGGATTGGGGTCTGTTTCTTTCTTCTATTTACTTCATATGCATTCTTTTTGGCACAGGCTAAACTTCTATTCATTAATTAAACTTTTAAATCTTGTCAAAAATAATTAATTAGGGAGTTTTAGTCTTCTTTAAGTCATTCATTTAATAAACATGTGGATCCGACACGATATAATTAATAAAAAAATCGAATTTAGGTGAAACTAATCAAAAGAAATACTCATTTTATATACCAGTTATACACAATTTATATACGACACAAACTCAATATAATACAATTCATTCAATACAAATTAATAAACAAATCGAGTATAAATAAAATATTTTTTGACATGAACTCACCTCATCAAACACGATTGACAAGCCTGATTGTGTCTTCCTTGCATCTCAAAAGCTTCTAATCGTTTGAAACTATATCCAAATAAACAAAATTGTATATGTTTGGAGGATTGAGGAACTTGTTGCCTATCAAACACACTGCTTTACACATTTGTTTTCCCTTTAGAAATAAGATTAGTACATTATAAAAATTTTTTATGCACAAAATTCAAATTATATTAAGTTGCTTGTATTCTGTCGTTAATTGAATGGGATTAGGAATTCAATTCCCATCATAAAAAATTAGTGCGATTAGGAATTCAATAATCCAAACGCATAGAATTCACTTACATTGTCTAGATTATTTCATCATCAATTGGATTAGTCACTAATAATTAGTTGGAAGCATTAGGAAATCAGTTCTCATTATGAATAATTAGAAGGAAATATTTATTATATTTTTTTAAAAGCACCAAAATCCAGTTTGAACTAGGTTGGCCCAAACCTAGTGCTGTGGGGTTGGACTTGGACTTTGACGAACTATAAATTCGATTGTCACAAATTTGACTCTTACTAATATTTCTTTATTTAGTTTTTTTTTTATACTTTAAAAAGGGGTGGGGGCGAGAATAAAGAAGAGCGCTCATCGACCACTCCAATAAACTCTTACCATTGGAATCATAAGACTCATGACCGCGCCCGGAACTATTTCTTTATTTAGTTGATATATGCGATTTACGGGTATTTTCAGATATGTAGAATCTACTCTCAAGTCCAAAGCAATCTCTATTACTCTCACAACTAGGTTGGCCCATCAGCCCAAACCAGCTGATAATAGGATTTATTTGACATTTTGTTNATAATTAGTTGGAAGCATTAGGAAATCAGTTCTCATTATGAATAATTAGAAGGAAATTTTTATTATATTTTTTTAAAAGCACCAAAATCCAGTTTGAACTAGGTTGGCCCAAACCTAGTCTAGTGCTGTGGGGTTGGACTTGAACTTTGACGAACTATAAATTCGATTGTCACAAATTTGACTCTCACTAATATTTCTTTATTTAGTTTTTTTTTTATACTTTAAAAAGGGGTGGGGGTGGGGATAAAGAAGAGCGCTCAGCGACCACCACCCCAATAAACTCTTACCATTGGAATCATAAGACTCATGACCGCGCCTGGAACTATTTCGTTATTTAGTTGATATATGCGATTTACGGGTATTTTCAGATATGTAGAATCTACTCTCAAGTCCAAAGCAATCTCCATTACTCTCACAACTAGGTTGGCCCATCAGCCCAAACCAGCTGATAATAGGATTTATTTGACATTTTGTCAAAAGGAAAGGGCATAACCAGATCATGGAAATACAACCCACACCAGACCTCCAACACTGTCATAACTTCAACGCTAGTGGCTGAGAGAGACTCAAAATCAACACAAACACACAGCGATCTAGGGTTAGGGATTTGTTGATCCACGACAAGCCAACATGCCGAAGAACAAGGGAAAGGGAGGGAAGAACAGGAAGAGAGGAAAGAACGAGGCCGATGACGAGAAGCGAGAGCTTGTGTTCAAGGAGGACGGCCAAGAGTACGCTCAGGTTCTTCGTATGCTAGGCAATGGCCGTTGTGAAGCTACGTGCATCGACGGAACCAAACGGTTATGCCACATCCGTGGAAAGATGCACAAGAAAGTTTGGATTGCCGCCGGCGATATCATCCTCGTCGGACTCCGTGACTACCAGGCATGCGCGAAATTTCAACTTCTATTTCGATTTGTTTGTCATTATGTTCATGTTTTTTGATTTCATTCGAACAGATTTTTAGTGATATGTGTGGTTGTGTGTTTGGATGGATTTTTGTTGATATTTTTGGCGAAATAATAAATTATATCTCAATTTTTTTATCGGTTTTCCGATACTTTTTTATTTGATTGGAGACAGAGCTCTAATAATATGTGTTATGGTGAATTTCTTTGTATTACCAGGACGATAAGGCTGACGTGATCCTGAAGTACATGCCTGATGAGGCTAGGCTGTTGAAGGCGTATGGGGAGTTGCCAGATAACACTAGGCTCAACGAAGGTATTGCAGGCCTTGATGAGGAGGATGATGGTGCTGGTGATGATTACATCGAGTTCGAGGACGAGGACATCGATAAAATCTAGGGTTTGTGAACTTGAACTCTGTTTAAGGGCTTTGGCCTAAATTAAATTTGCTGTGTTTTTAATTTCATTGAAGTAGGGAGAAAATTATATCTAATGTTTGAACTTTGAAGTGCATGAAGGTTTACACACAAAAATTTATGCACGAGGTTTATGCTTTGATGGAATGGATGCAATAATAGAGCTACCTTTTAATTCTTCTTGCTTGTGAGTTATTTAATATTTGGTTGTTATATACAATTGATTTTTGCTTGTTTACACAGAGGCTATACGAACTTTGTGCTATTTGATGTTTAATTGGGTAATTCACAGTTGGTGCTCTTTGTGTTTCACTAATAGTGTGTTTGATGAAATGGGGTTTTGGTTGTAGTGTGTTCTTTAGGTATCCTTGGAAGGGGGTAGAAGGCTGATTTGAGGAATAGATATAAATTATAATGTATTTGCTTTTATTATCTTCCAATGTGTTGAGGGTATAGTATGACATTTTGGAGACATAAAAATGAGAATAAATTCTCCTTCCCCTGGTGAGTTGGTCTCATACTGAATTGATGTGTTGATTCCATCCTTTTGAAGGGCTTGCCAATGTTGCTGTTTCCTCTTGTAGTATTCCCTTTTGTTTTCTTCAATCTGGAACATCCATTCCTGTCTAGTGCCGGATGTGGCTCTAGTTTGGGTGATTTGTCAGGAGGGAATATAGTTGATGAATACAAGTTTGGGACTTGAGCTTCTGTTGTGCATGCTGCCTATTGTGTATTGAATTTATAATTCCCAGATGGTTTTACTATTTTAAAGTGCACTGCATGCTCTGAAAAAATAAATAAAAGAAATAAGTGCTTGTGTTTCCACACCCATTTTGTATGGATTTAGTAAGACAGGTGCTCTAAGGTGAAATAAAGTGTGTTTGGATAGTTGGTCTTATTTTTATGAAGGGTGTTCTTTGGTTTTTTACTTTACTTCTCCTAAATACATTGGCATGATATTAGGAGGTCAAAGAGGCCGAAATGCATGTCGGTCCAATTTACTTGATGGCCTGATGTTTATTGTACTCCTTTGTAGTTTGCAGATTTGATATGATAGCATATTAATGAATCATATAGCCTGCCTTCACCCAGAATGTTTAGGTCTCCTACTATGTGAACTTTTATTCTCCTTTAGCTTTACAATAATGCAGGGTCTCTTTAAAAATTAATTATATTGATTTTTTGCTAGCTGTCCCTTTGTGGTGCTTGCACTAGCAATTTTTTCTCTCAATGGGAGCATGGTTAAAAACACAATACTTAGGTGTACTAGAGTACTTATCAAACATCATTGCATTCATAGTATATAAGTTACATAACAAAAAATACAAAAAATAAAAAGAAATTCATCCATATTAACTACTTTTAATAATTAACAGTTATTTTAAAAAAAAAAAACTTGGCCCTGTCAAGACACTTCTAACCTTGTCGAACATGTGTCCGACACTATCATGATACCTTTGGAAAGTATCAGTGCTTCATAGGCACAAACCCTTTAATGCATCTTCCCCCTTTTAGTGTGTTGCCAAAACAAATCACCTAACAAACTTTTAAACAACGTTGAGATAGTCTTCGAAATGAACCTGTTTTGTACACATTACTTAACATCAACAACACAACTGATTTGACACAAATATTACCCAATTCTGGTACTCTCTACCTAAGCCTGACATTGTTGTGACTAGTCAAAAACGGCTCCTATATAATGCCCACCGAGGGCACTAACTGCATTTCTTAAGTTGTAGTGGTCTCAGTCGAATCACCAAATGAGAATGGCATAGGATGGAGCCATTTTGTTTTAACACTATTCCTACACCTGTTGGAAAATCTCGACTCTCAAGAAGGGTCCTCGTTTTGTACACAAACAAGCTTTACATTGTAAAAACAGGGATTAGAATAAGATCAGTCATATGTGACTCCTAAAACTCGTTGTCTCTACCACAAATTCTGTTACTTCTCTACCTTCAACATCCTCTTCTTGGTAATACTTCTCACAAATTAAGGTGGTCTTGTCAATTTGTCAAATGGCACTTCCTAAATATCTTTATGTCTTTGAAGTTAGCAGTTGACCTAATGTTAATAACCACCGTCCTGCTGTAAAATCTTAAGATCACAAATTCAAACCCGACCAATGATCTCTCCTTGTAGTAGTGTTTGACCAAAAAATATTTTTACATCTTTGACTTCTGATTATGGGACTGCAAGAAAGTCACAGCAATGCAAATTGGCAGCCCAGAATCATCCACTAACAAACCAGATCTATCTTTTTTTTACATCAACAAAAGCAAGCAAGTTGTAGTGAAAGCTATTCTTTATAACCTCTTCACAATGAAAATGAACAGTCCAAACAAACAATCCACATGTAAACATAAAAGAAAATCGAAGAATTAAACAAACCAACCCCTAAATCAGAAATCTTCATCCATCTTGAGCAAATGGGTCCCACCATTCCCATTCATGGAGCCAAAGAATTCAAACAAAAGCCAGTACAGAGATTGATTTGTATGTCTAACTTTGGTTAAGCACAAACAATAGAATCTGGTATTCCAGTTTGAGCAAATCTCCTGTAACAACCTTGATCGCCTCGTTCTTGTTGAAAATCAAATTCATTCACTGACACATTCGTCTCTTTTTTTTTTCCGGTAAGTGACACATTCATCTCTAGGGTAAACATCTAGACAAATTCTACACTATTCATCTTAATTGCTTCAAAATAACACTTCCATCTTTTCTGTTATAGTGAAGTCATTGACGAGAGTAAATCTGTCAGTTTAACAATTTTTTTTTCTTCAAAATGAGGTTCAACAAAAACCACTTTCACTCCTCAAATCATACTAGATAATCCTTCCTCCAGTGAATAAGACAATGAAATTCATCTCTGACTCAACCACCTTCCTCTCTATTCCACTAAAAGTTGTATAAAACTCTAAAAATACAGACAAAAATTCAAAATAATAGGTTTATAAGGTTCCAAATAATCTTTAGTGGAATTGAGAGAAAGTTGGTGGAGGCAGAGATAATTTCCATTGGTCCTATTCATTGAAGGAAGGTAATCTAGTACAATTTAAAGAAAAAAGAATTATTGAACTAACAAATTTACTTACATCGAGAACTTAACTGGAGGCTGTTCTGAAGCAATTGAAATGAAAAGTGTTGAGTTTGTCTACATATTGTACTAAAAGCTATTTTTTATAACCTCTCGACAAAGAAAATGAACCGTCCAAACAAACATCTCGCATGTAAACAAAAAAGAAAATCGAAGAATTAAACAAACAACCTCCTTAAAATCAGAAATCTTCATCCATTTTGAACACATGGGTCCCACCATTCCCATTCAAACTGGACATCACCGAAGCCTTCTGGTACTCCCCAACCCTCTTCTCAAAGAAATTAGTCTTCCCCTGCAAACTAATCAGCTCCATCCAATCAAACGGGTTATGAGCACTGTACAATTTCCCATATCCCAATGCACCCAACAACCTATCAGCCACAAACTCAATGTACTGACTCATCAGATCACAGTTCATACCCACCAAGGCGCATGGTAATGCGTCGCACACGAACTCTCTTTCTATCTCCACCGCGTCAGCAATGAGTCCTTTGACTCGGTCCTCACTCAGCTTCATTCGAAGAAGACTGTATAGCAAACAAGCGAAGTCACAATGTAAACCTTCGTCTCTCGAGATCAATTCGTTTGAAAAGGTTAAACCCGGCATTAATCCACGCTTCTTCAACCAAAATATAGCACAGAAGCTTCCAGAGAAGAATATGCCTTCTACACAAGCAAAAGCGATCAATCGCTCGGCGAACGATTCTGAGCCGTCGATCCATCGGAGAGCCCACTTGGCCTTCTTTTCAACACAAGGGACGGTCTCGATTGCGTGAAAGAGTCTGTTCTTTTCATTGGAGTCTTTGATGTAGGACTCCAACAACAGACTGTACATTTCGGAGTGGATATTTTCGATGGCGATTTGGAAGCCGTAGAAGGCACGCGCCTCCGCGACTTGGACTTCTTTCATGAATCGACCGGCGAGATTCTCCAAAACGATGCCGTCTGAGGCTGCGAAGAAGGCAAGAATATGAGTGATGAAGTGTTTTTCGTCGCCGGTTAGGGTTTCCCAATGACGGATGTCTTGTGATAGATCGACTTCCTCGGCGGTCCAGAACGAAGCCTCGGCTTTCTTGTACATTTCCCAGATTTGTGGGTATTGAATTGGGAACATACAGAATCGATCTGGGTTAGGGGCTAGCAATGGCTCTTCGGGAATCGACGGCATTTTTTATGAATTGAATGGATTTTAAAGGTGGGAGTTGGTGAGGAAGGGTAGAGAAATGAAGATTAGGGTTTGATTTGGGGAAGAAGTGTCTGTGATGATTTTATAGGAGAAGGATGAGATTTGAATGAGAGGTTTGAGCGGGTAATTTGAATTTTGATGAGAAGCTTGCGCGAGAATGAACCAGAGAGGGAGGGTGTCGGAATTTTAGGCAATGATTAATTATACTTCATACCCTATAAGTTTCGTATAATTATTTAATTTAATTCTTAAAAACAAATTTGTCAACTTTATCCTTCAAGTTTTGAACATCAGTTCAATACTTCAACTCAATTAATAGTAGTATGACAGTTAAATTCTTTTAAAGGAACAATTGGACCAACGTGACAAGTTTTGAGTTGAAATTTATTGGAATTTTATTTTTAATTCGAGGGGTTCTTCTCGAATTTCCCATATGAGATACAAATGTCATTTTGAGTTGTATTATCTATATAATACATTAGTTTACGATTCAAATTTTAAAAATAAACAAAATGACTTTTGTTATTCGTGGTTGAGATCGTTTTAAATTTTACTTTAAAATTAATCTAACGCTTAATATTAACACTCTAAATTTAATGTAGGACATAAGCTCCTAAGGTTGTGTTTGGAGTGATTTTTTAAAAATACTTCTAAAAATTATTTCTCATACATACTTTAAAAAAAATAGTGTTTAAAACTGTCTTACCACCACCGCCGCCACCACCACCATCGCTGCTACCCGTTTACCACCACCGCCATCGCCGCTTCAACTGTCACCACCGCCGCCGCTAGAGTCATTGGCACCAACCACCAACGCCCTCGCCACCACCACCACGGTCATTGTCACCCCCCACAACCATCACCGTCTCCTACCACCACCACTGTCGCCCACCATCTCTCGCCCCCACTACAAATCGATGTTTAAATTCCTTTTATCTTTTATCTATGTTTGTGATTTAATTTTAGATATAAATACAATATGTTTATTATTTATCATTTTTTATTATTCTGTGCCTTCAGGCACAAANACCACCACGGTCATTGTCACCCCCCACAACCATCACCGTCTCCTACCACCACCACTGTCGCCCACCAGCTCTCGCCCCCACTACAAATCGATGTTTAAATTCCTTTTATCTTTTATCTATGTTTGTGATTTAATTTTAGATATAAATACAATATATTTATTATTTATCATTTTTTATTACTTTGTGCCTTCAGACACAAGCAATAATTAGTCAATTAATAATAAAGCACCAAATAAAATTAATGAACCCTATTATTCTGGTATGATAGTTATAAAATGAGCTATCATTAATAATTATTTAAAATTATATAACTTACTAAATCCACGATGATATTCTATTACTGATTTATAATATCAATCNTTTTTATTACTTTGTGCCTTCAGACACAAGCAATAATTAGTCAATTAATAATAAAGCACCAAATAAAATTAATGAACCCTATTATTCTGGTATGATAGTTATAAAATGAGCTATCATTAATAATTATTTAAAATTATATAACTTACTAAATCCACGATGATATTCTATTACCGATTTATAATATCAATCACCACATGACGATATGTTATAATTTTTGTTGGGCAAAAGATGTGCCTTGGAAGGAAGAATAAAAATGTATGAATGGATGGTTTTATTGGAAAGTGATTTATGGTAATTCAAATTTGGAGCTTGGACGTTGGAAGATAAGTTAAGGTCTGAAACTAACATTTCAAAGTAGTTAGGCCAAAGCTTGCGAGGGAAGCTGTATGATTATTATGTGTTTTTTGGGTCCGTCCAGTTGCTCTCATGTTTGAATTTGGGCTGGGTTTCCATTTTGGCGCTATTTTTGATTAGTACCCCCGTAGAATCATTTGAATGGTCTTAAAAACAGATATTTCTAAACTTACTACCTCGATGTTAGGAGTGTTAATCAAAATAAAATTCTAGCACGAATTGTGTTCTAAATGAATTCGAGTTTAAACAATTTTGTAATCTCGTTTAAAAAAATAAACTCAATAGATTCAAGCTTAAAATCGCAAAGTTCAACTCANCTTAAAAACAGATATTTCTAAACTTACTACCTCGATGTTAGGAGTGTTAATCAAAATGAAATTCTAGCACGAATTATGTTATAAATGAATTCGAGTTTAAACAATTTTGTAATCTCATTTAAAAAAATAAACTCAATAGATTCAAGTTTAAAATCGCAAAGTTCAACTCGATTAACATTTCTACTCCATATATCCAATTCGACTATTGCAAGAAAACTTTGATTTATTTATACACATAATTTATAAGCTATTATATATACATCAAATTATCTTATATTCACGATGCTACAAAAACGTGATTGAAATGTTTATCCAGCATTGCAAGTAGTTATNTATTGCAAGAAAACTTTGATTTATTTATACACATAATTTATAAGCTATTATATATACTTCAAATTATCTTATATTCACGATGCTACAAAAACGTGATTGAAATGTTTATCTAGCATTGCAAGTAGTTAGAAAAACTGAAATTGATGGGTGGATACATGCACGCTTGGAGGGTTCATCACTGTTCACCCCGATTTGTCTTGCATGTTAATCAGAGCAACCTATTGATTGGACTAGAGCGAAAATCCATTTCATTCAAACATGTACATGATATAACCTGAAAAACGAAATGAGGTGAAAATTAGAGTTGATTCATGAAATATAGTTCATACCATTGATTATAGATCCAGGCCAAAAACACTAGCAATAAGGCTGGTGGTGTGATAATAGCAGGTTAGCACCATAGAAAGGTACTCAGAAGTGGTTGTTAAGCTAAAATCACAGAAAGACTCCTCATGCAACTGACACAAAATCAATTATACCGATTATACATAACCCGGAACAATGTTAAATTAAATTGCCACACACTGTAACAAAGATGAGATTTTACAAGATAAGGAGAGTAGAATATATAGAAGACCTATTCTACATTACAAGACCATAGGCCTCTTATACATGAAACTCATAAAACAAATTTGAACCGATATAATATAAGACAATTTGGCACCAATTGTGCATTTATTCAGTTCCTGTGATCTTCTTCTTTAAAGCTTCAACGTCCGTGGCCAGTTCTTTTCTACTTGACTGAAAGAAAAAAAATAGTTAGTCGGCAACATCTGAATTTCTAGGCAAACCAAAAGGAGAAATAGTCAGCAAGTATCCCAATACAGGCACTACCATATCAGCGTGTCATTTCCGACAACTACATCAGCATGTTAAGTTGAATGCGTATGACTGGAACAAATCTTTTGGGAATTCAGAAAAAAAACTAGTGCAATAAGCAATCCTGCACTATCCCAGAATTTCAACCATTTGTTCTACAAAATATTATGCACAACGTATATCCTACATCTAGCAAGGATAAGGCTTTCAAGTTGAGTGAAATGCTATTGAAAATTGATCTTAGCAATATCCATAAGTTTTGCACCTGGACAGACACCAATGTTGATTCAGAAAAACTCTAGAAAACCTTACATTGAGAGACACTAAACTCATTGGAGATGTTAACATTGCTACAACACATATATAGACATACATAAATGCACACGCAAGCGTGCGCACAATTTTACTAGGGTTGAGAAAGAGATGGCAAGGGTGGGTGGGGGGTTACCAATGCCCAATTTGACAATGCAAAAAAGTAATAACAAAGGGAATACATCATGAGTGAATAGATCTATTATGTAGAAGCACTGGCTCGTCACAAGCTATGTGTGGATGTCAGTTCATACTTTATCAATGGCTCACTTCAAAACTACACAAGAAATATCTTTATACCAAATATACGCTTTATACCAAATTCACTGTGGGATACGTGTGCAAAGTTTCTCAAGGTATCCATCTTCAATAAGCCATGGCCAATGAAATTATACAAAAAGAAATCTGTCTGCATAAGAGAAGAATTCCAATTACAAATGTAAACTGAATGTCTTCAAATATTACCTTGAAGAGAAGGTATCGGTAGACAAACCATCCAGTATATCCAAGCCCTACCAACTCCAGGATCTTTGGAAGCTGGTAATGAAATTTGTTGAGGGAGGTCATAGTGGTTCAATTAAACACCAAAACAAAATTGATTAAAAAAATTTTACATTGACAGAAAATTTAGCATGCCAGGGAATCAAAAACACTAAATAAGTGCCCATAACTAGCTTGAATCCAGTTGAAGACATAAGCAAGTACTTTTAATATTAAAACACCTACCAAAGGGACTGAGTTCACTGCACCAATAACAATGGAAGATAGCCAAACTGCAACAATCGCTCCACCTCCATAGAGAAGTACTGTAGACTTGTTTTCAACTGCATCCCACTAGTAAATATGACAACAGAAAGGAAAAAGAAGTCTAAAATCAACTACCATGTTAACGGAATTTGAAGTTTTAATTAGTAGGCAATGCAGTAATGGTTGAAACTAGATAATTTCAGAAAGAAAAATCAGAAAAAAGTTGCAATTGATGAACTGTCACCACCCCCAGGGTATGACACTCAGTTTACCTTCTCCTTTATATCGTTGAACAACTCATCAGTATCAATAGGAGTGGATGTCTCTTCTGACGAAGTGGCTTTCACCTGGAGCAAAGAAGACCTCTGGGACTCTGTTAAATGAAATAGAGTATAAGCATAAAGCTACAGGTAATTATACAAGTTTCACGTTAGCATCAATTAGACCATTGCTTGGTTGAAAAACTATGGAAGTTGAACCTGAAGCAAGTTCTAGTTTCAGTAGAGCAAGGATTCATCTTAGGGATTAGGGACCCTGTAATGGTCCATAACATATAAAACCTCTTTCCTACATTACCCCTATTCCTCACTGATAGGTTTATGTTGAACTTCTCCAAAATACCTTCTCACTCAGTAAATAGCACAGAGAGATTGGAAGTCAAAGCAAATTCCACATAAAAGAGTAAATTTGTCTCGCCTCTATATAAAATAATACATTCCTTAAGTCCTTTGCACGAAATCTACACTAACATATTCACACTGAGAGACTGTACTCCAACAGATTTACAAATGGAGAAACATGCCATTTGGTTTTCATCTTCAAGAAAATCATTCATAAGAGGTAGCTCATGCAGTCGAGCAGCTATGATACTTCTAACCCCTTGTGTGGAAACTTTAAGAACTCATCTCAGAAAAAGCCTGCCATAAATTTTCCAATTTAATAATGATTTCTTTCTCTTCTTCCAAATATCCAGGTTTCAATTTACTAATTAATTATAGTTTTGTATCCCAAGAATAACAAGAGAAATGCATCTTGCCCCTGCTGCTTCTCTTTTTTTTTTGTGTTCTTGTTATATTTTGGGTTTGGATCAATTACAGGCTTCACAATGAGTGTTAGCCTTTCAATGTTCAAGAGAGACTGAAAAAATCCAAGAACTCCACATGGAAAAACCTCATGGGAAGAAGAAAATAGGCACACACAGAAAGAGATAATACTTTATGTATCAAAAACAATTTCGGGATTCAAAGAACATGCTGCATTCCACTCTATACAGAAGGTGTTTTGATGCATATATTCACCCAATGACCCCCATGCAAATCTAGTAAGAAACCCAAAGCTATCTATCGATTTGGGTGGGAGGACCTTCAGCTCTATATTCTAGCGAGCTAGTTGTTGACTCTCCTAAGTGATAGTGCCGCCATGCAGTGAACTCTATAAAATAAAACTAGGCAGGCTTCAATAAGTCTATTCAACGGTCTCAAATAAACTCATTCAACTACCATCATCTCTCTCAAAACCATACATATTATACCGTGCCTTTCAAGCACGGGTTACCCCTAATTGTTTGACAAATGACGATCACATGAATATATTTACAAATTGCCATTATTGCAAGCAAGCAAAAAGGACAACATTACCTTTGCTTTCACTTGTCACATAATCTAAATAAACGAATGTCCTACTCAGAGTTCTAATTCCTGCGTTTCTTGTTATATCCAATACTAACTTCAAGGTCATATGATCCTATCAAAAGAATTAAGATAGAAATATATGGACTTTACGCTCTTATGGTCGGGTATTTTGCAACCAAGGACAAAAATTATATTAAATTCACTTCATTTTCTTCCTAGTGTAGCTTGCCAGTGCCTCAATTTCAGCCAATTGATTGCATTCATCTCATCCATTCACAATGCTGTTAGTCAGTTCACAACTCATCATAAATAAGTATAAATAGGGACTGAAAATAAATAATGAAAAAAAGGAAAACCATGGCTAGATATATATACACAAGCATATAAGCGTGCTTCTGTATCTTAAATCAACAGATTATTGTTCGAATTAAGTAAAACCCAAGTCAAATTTGCGATAAATAAACTGAAGTACATGACAACGGAGAAGAATAAACTTGATATTCCTCAAAATAAACAAATTTAGGTCGTCAACCACAAATATGCTCGACGAAATGCCCCAGAGAGAGACATACCTGAAAACTTTTTGAAGGAAGTGGAAAAAGCCAAAGAGGACAAGCGCGGTGGTAGGTACGGTAAAGCAGAGCAGTGGGTGGTAGTTGCGAGACGGGGTATCAAGACAGCAGTTGCCGCCATGGAAGTGGAAGCTGCCGCCGAATAAGCCGTCGCCATTTGGCCGCAGAAACAAGTCCTGTCTCTCGAGTCCGAGTTTTGTTGCGAAGGTTTTTGTGTTCCTCCTGTTCTGCTATCCACACCGATTTTCTCTTTCTTGATGACAGATACTGAATGAATAAGTGACACGTGGAGATGTTGAGCTTCTGATTGGCTCATTCCCTATCTTCAAAAATCCAGGTATGAGGTGTATGACCGTCTCTCTGCCTGCTCCCACTTTCTTGATGAGAGGACTAAGCTGTCAAGTCTGACCCGTTAAATCGAATTCGAACGGTTACNCGAGTCCGAGTTTTGTTGCGAAGGTTTTTGTGTTCCTCCTGTTCTGCTATCCACACCAATTTTCTCTTTCTTGATGAGAGATACTGAATGAATAAGTGACACGTGGAGATGTTGAGCTTTCTGATTGGCTCATTCCCTATCTTCAAAAATCCCGGTATGAGGTGTATGACCCTCTCTCTGCCTGCTCCCACTTTCTTGATGAGAGGACTAAGCTATCAAGTCTGACCCGTTAAATCGAATTCGAACGGTTACAAAATTAATATAATTATTAAATACATATAATAAATAATTTAAATTAATATTTAATATTCAATACACATTAAATAATTTTTTTTTGTGAATCTTAATATAAAAAAGACACGATATAAATAAAATGACATGTAAATCACACGAACACAACACGATTTATTATGCCCCTAGATTAAGATTCACTTCCCACTTAAAATATGATTTTTTTGATAATAATTTGTGCCTGAAAAATATTTTGTCGGATTGAATTTTTGAGTATAAATTGTGTAATATTTATATTTTAGATGATATATTTTAAATTATTAAAGTTAAAAGAGAGAAAATAAAATAATGGTATGACAAAAAGAAGAAAGAAATAGCTGTAAATTAGTGGATTGAGAGTGTGTTAGTTAGTAAGGATACCCTCGGTGTATTTTACGCTTTTAATTTTTCAGTGCCCACCATCTATCAGCACCTCTGTTATGCTGTCGTTGTCACCACCATCATCATCACTAACACCATCATCGCTATTACCATCGTCACCACTACCACCATCACTATTGTCACTATCAATATATTTTGCACTCTTAATTTTTTAATATTTATCACTGCTATTATTGTGCTACCATCACCAGTAAGGTAGTTGTTACGAGATGATTAAAAAGAATGGTAAAATTAGAATATTATATTACTTAAATTTTAGCATTTAATTTTCAGTATTCAATTTTTAATTTTGTAATACATCACCTAATTCATTGTCATGACTAAATTAGTTATAAATTGTAAAAATAGAGTATACTTTTAATTTAACAACTATAAACTCCGAAATAAATATAAGGGTTAATTGTAAATTGCATCCCAAAAGATAATTCGAATTTCAATTTGTACCTTCAAAAATAAAAATTTGTATCAATGTGCACCCCCCAAAGATCAAAAATCTCAATTTGTACCCTCAAATATAGAAATTTATATCAATGTGCAATCACAAAGATCAAAAACCTCAATTTGCACCCTCACATATAGAAATTTGTATCAATATCCACCTAAAACTAATCACCATCAGTTTACTACCTAAAACTAAATTGCTAAATTATATTTAGATCCCTTCGTACTTGTCACTTAATCATTTAGATCTTTCACATTTAGAATGTTACTCCTACATCTTATGACGTTTGTGCACGTGTAACACGTAACCCTTTTTCACTGATATCTGTTAATATAACCGTTAAAAAATATGATTTTATCCTAATAAAAAATTATAATTTCATATTACCATTTATTTTGTACGTTTGATATACTCTAAAATTCAAAATTAAGTTTATTATTTGAATGCCCAATAGAATGTAGATATTTATACAATATTTTTTATATTCAATGCAATATATCACTTAAACATAATTATTTGAATGACCAATTGAGGAGACATTTTTAGTCATATTTAGATTCTCAATGGATATAGGTGTAATATTTTAAATCTGAGGGGTATAGGTGATTAAGTGACAAGCATGAATGAGTTTAGGAGTAATTTATTTATTTATTATGATAAAATCATATTTTTTAACGGTTATATTAACATATATCAACAAAAAGGGTTATATATTACATATGCACAAACATTATGAGATGTAAGAGTAATATTTTAAATGTGAAGGGTCCAAATAACTAAGTGACAAGTACGAGGGGATCTAGGTATAATTTATCAATTTAGTTTTAGGTAGCAAACTGACAGCGGTTAATTTGAAGTGCACATTGATATAAATTTCTATTTTTAAGGGTATAAATTGAGATTTTTGATCTTTTGGGGTGTATATTGATATAAATTTCTATTTTTGAGGGTGTAAATTGAGATTTTTAATCTTTGAGGGTGCACATTGATATAAATTTTTATCTTTGAGGATACAAATTAAAATTCAAATAATCTTTCAAAATATAATTTACAATTACCTCTAAATATAAACAACATTGTTCTTTCAAACAACGACGTGGTGTACTCTTGTCACGAGTCACTTGGAATATGAGCCGGCCCAACAAAGACCGAGTACCTAACTATTAAACTGCTTTTGAATTTGAACAAGGAAGTGGTTAAACAAAGACGCCAATTAACATGGGACATTAGGGGCATTATTATCTTGTTTGTTCGAGAAAATCTCCATTATGAAAACTTGATGCCCCAAATGAAGTTTGATTCTCACTTAAATAACATGGATTAATCGTAAAAGATATAGAGATCAGAGGAATATGTCTCTGGCAACGATACGGCTATAATATATGCGTAAATATTCTCAAAGATTGCGTCATTATTTCTAAAGTAAGGTGTGCATGAATATGATGAGCCTCTATAAAAGGTGACACCTAATAATCAGCCACGAGGACTGTCCAGTCTACCGGACTAAACTAACCCATTTCTTGGTGTGCCGCTCCGCCCTCCAACAGGTTGAAGACAACCTAAACCTCGTTGGAACCGTCTAATATCCAATCCTCTTTTCCTCTCTCTCTCTCTCTATATATATCTATATAATAAAGTAGAGTTGAGTTTGAATCCAGAGACAAAGAGAGATACAGATTATTTTGAAACAAAACATAAACACATCTAGCAGAATACGTAATCCCAACATAAAAGACGGTTCAGATTATCTCATAAATACTGATCTGACCATAATTATACTTAACTCTAACACTCCTATCTCTCATATAATTCTCTCTTTCTCTCTCTCATCTTTTAAAAGTTTTAAACATATTATCTCTTTTTTTTTTCTATATATATATATATATATATAAAATAAAATAGCTAGAATTATTTATTTTTAGCTTTTCGCAGCTCAGATCGCTTGACGATTATTGGTCTGACAGTTCTCATGCCAAATTTTTCTAAAACTCTTATTACTCATCTAACTCTCTTTATATCTATCTTTTGCTCTCTCTCTCATATTATTATCTTATTTTTTCTATTTTTCAAGTGTTATTTTTTTATTATTTACTCCATAAAACATATGAAATTACATGCTATGCAATTATTTATTCCATAAAATTAATTTAAAATTTTATATATCTAACAACATGTATTTTGCCACTTACTTTTTAATTTGTAAATAACGCTTAATGCTGCCACGATCCACTGAAATTCAGCCCTTTATCGCTTCGATTTGTAAAAAAAAAAGGTAAATAATACTTAATGTAAATAAAAAATAGTACACAATTTTCATGATTTGAGGATTTTTTTATCTGAATTTCACATCTTTGCTTGAAATTAGGTCTTAATTGATTCAGAGCCTAAATTCCTCTAAAATTCTTATTGATAATGATTTTTATATAAATTATTTTTTTAATTTTTTTAATGTTTGCTCTATTTGTTATAACTTTGGTACTAAAATTTTTAATTTACTTTCACTTATTTTCACGTGAACAAGAGATTTTTCAGTTTGACAAGTGGATGTGAGTGATTCTTTTAAAAAAAAATGGAGGTGAATAATTAGTTTGGTTTAAGTATGTGTGGTCAAATCTTAACTAAAAAAAAATTTATAAAATGATATAGTAAGATAGAATACGCTATGCTATGAAAAAATTTGTATTTAAATTTTATGGGTTAAAATACAAAATTTTAAGTTTATATAAAACAAAAAAATTTATAATTTAAGGTCAATTTCATGTTGGTTTAATTAACAACAAATAATATTCAACAAGAAATGAACCTTAAATTGTAAATTAATATATATTTTTATCAAAAATTGATATTTAATTTTGTCCAATTTATATTCAACTTTGTTTAATTAATATCAAATTAATTTTTATTGTTATCAAATTAATATTAAAATTCATTTAATCAATTTTTTGGGGTACTAAATTATATCAATTTTTTGAGTACTAAATCAAATCTTATTTTATTTTATTAAATTTTTAATTTTTTTGGGTACTAAAGTTGGATAAAGGCAATTATGAAAATAATAATTTTTTTGGGGGGATAAAATCATCATTATCCGTTAGCAATATTGAAGGAAGGGAGACATAGGGGTCTCTGTGTAATAAATTTTAAACTCTATGGATCTCTATGTTATTTATAAAATATTAGGGGGTGTTCATATGATATTGTCAAAATTCAGGAGAAGTATGTTTTTTTTACCCTATTTTTTATTTAGATATTAATTTATTATTATTTTATCGTAAAAACTTGAATTATTATATTTATAATAAAAATAATTATTGGTTAGGAAGGTTTGTTGGTAACCAAAAACTAAATGTGTAAGAGTATATTTCTGTGTACATTTATATGTGGGGGATTGAAAATTTGGTAATTAAATTTATAATTTTATTTTGCCATTTGGTGTTGAATGGTGATAGTTAGGGGTGACAATTTTTGACACGACACGATAACCTAATACGAAACAAGATACAAATAAATGAGTTTGGGTTGACTAATTTTTTGTGTCAACCCGTGTATGACACGACCCGTCAACACAAAGTTTTTAACTCGAAGGAGATTGACCTGGCCTTTTCGTTGCATGTATGAGTTTTCATGTTTTGATGGCTTATTTTTTCCATTTATTCTGATGTTTTTTGGTTGTGTTATATACAATTAACATATTTAATTAGTATTATATAAATAAAATATTAATTATTATAACTGTTTATTAAGCATTGATATAATTATTGTATAAAAAAAATATTATTACTCATTATTATTATTATTGATGATGCAC